GACAAAATTTAGCTTAAGCTATAGCTACACAAGCTTCATATTTTTTGTGGGTCATTTTTTTAAAATAAGCTGCACTAAGTAGGTACCTTAAAATTAGGTTGAAGCACTTTCAGAAGGCGTCAAAATGCTTCTCTTTCCACCATGTAGGAAGGCAATAATTGCAAACAAAAAACGCTAAAGCCTGCACTATTTTGTTGTAATTTGAACCTCCTTCCAAAATAGATATATCTATTATATTCAATAAAGAAAAAGTACTAGAAATAATTTATTTGTCTTATTGGCCGAAACTTGTAAAAATGCGTCTTCTAAAGTACTTTGTGGAGGTACGTTGGTATCCGTACTAGCGTCAAAAAAACTTTTTCCTTCCAACATGTTTTCTAATTTAGAACAGCAACATGTTGATGGCTGTGACATATCCAACTCAAATTCTTCAGTAGACTTCACAAAATATCCTATATATTCATAAATATATGTTCGGTGACTTTGGGCAGTGTTTACACTTTTGATAATTTGATTCGATATGAATGTTTTAATTCCATACCAAGTATTTGGTTCGAATGAACAACTCAATTACCAAAGTACTCGGTATCGAAATCAAAAGAATGCCTACTTGTATTCACTTGTATCGAATCATCCCTATCTAAGAGGCGGCACTTCACTTAAAGGTGTCATAACTCATAATGATCTAATTGATCTAGTCGTAATATGGTACCATATAAAACTCAGGCTGGGTCAGTAAGGGTGACATAACTCACGTTTAATGATGTGTATCAATTTTAACTATTTTCAGTTCAGTTAAGACGATTGACAACAGGTTTGACTGTTACAGTGTTTACAGTTCTGATACTTTGATTATTTACGATGCGATACTTCGATTCGATACGAGTGCTTTATTTCGATACCAAGTATTGGTATCGAAAGAACGATTCAGTTACCAAAGTACTCGGCATCGAAACAAAAGTATCGAATACCTACTTGTATTTACTTGTATCGAATCATCCCTACTCAGTTCAGCGTAGCCTACACGTTTGCTCACACATCTCTTACTTTTTATACGATGCAAAACTTTTTTAGACATCTCCAATTATATCGCAAAGTCACATTCGGAAATTTATAGAATAATGAGAATATTGAAGTGAAAAAGCTGGTACTGTCTATGGCAAGTCGCTCTCCGTTAAACTAACATGATTTGAGGACATTAAGTGCTGACCTTACATTTTAATATCAATCCTAAACTCACCATCGTTTATTAGTACTGATCCTTTTTTATAGTTTTTACATTCGTTTTGCAGTAAATATAAATGTTAAGTGTTTCAGAAATATGTTTTCTAGACAGATTGGCAATAGTTGAGTCGACATTCGTAGCATCAGAAATAATTTTGGAGATTCTAAACATTACATTTAGGAATGTTTTCCGGGCTTTGAAGCTGTGGTGTATGGGAATTTCTTCCTGACGCTTCGTCCACAACTGCGGTGGACATTATCAAAGGCGATGAGGCAGTGGGCGAAGTGAAGCAGGTACCGGTCGGTATGTGTCGGTTTCCTGTACACCGTGCGGGCCAGCTTTCCGTTGGTTTTTCTGGTCACCAAGACATCCAAAAAAGGCAATCGCCCATCCTTCTCGACTTCCATAGTGAACGTGAACACATACCGACCGGTACCTGCACAGTGGTTCAAACCATGATTCCAGTCAGAAAAGAGGAGTCATCAAAACTCTCACCGAAAGAGCCAGAAGAATCTGCGAACCAGCCGAGTTAGAGAGAGAATTAAAACACCTGGAA